GCCACCACATACTCAACCCACGACCTGGACATCCTCTGCCCTCAAAACCTGCCAAGTCTGCCTCCTTGGTCTGACTTTCAGGCTCCTTGTATCCGGACTTCACTGGCTTCCTTGCCTCCTTGCCCAGAAGGGCATTTCCCTGTGGAGGTATTCTTTCAGCTTACATCATGCAAGGGTATGCTTCTGTCATAGATGCTCAAGAAACAAAGTTTCCCTATGTTTTCGTGCTCTCTCAATTGTGGACCTGACCCCCGAATTTCATTCTGTCTGTGCTGCTGGATGCGTTGTCTTGCTGCCATGGTGGTCCTTGCCATTTTGTCAAATGGAATCTTCATCCTTCAGACCCCGACCCAAGCAACAGAGCTGGGAAAGTGGAAAGAACTCCCTTAGCTCACACCCCAGCCCTAGCTGAGTAACTCGGCACTCACGGCTCAAGTCCTTAAGTTGGACTTGATGATTCCTTTCTATTCTATTTTATGATATTTACGTATTTATTTTTGCAGTCCCAGGGGTGGGGATTGAACCTAGGTCCTCTTGCGTGCCTGTCTTCTACCACTCTAAGCTACCCCTCAGCCCTGCACTGGGCGACAGGGTCTCGGGCCCATGGTAACCTCACACTTACTATGCATCCAGTGCTGCTGGTGATAGATGGGAACCAGAAGCTCCTCCCGGGGGCTCGTGAAAGCATGAACAGAAGTCAGCAGTCTGGATGTGGAAGGGGTAGGACTCTTCCACTGGGGCAGGGGGTACAGCCCCAGCATGGGCAGCTTAGCAGTCTAAGGTAGTTCTCCAGACCCTCATCATTTGGAAGCCACTCTTAGGCTCTGTCGGATCCTCACACTGAAGGTAAGAGGGGGACTTGGATGGTTCTCACTTAGGTTCAGCGGGTTCTGCCTCTAGAGAGGACGACGACTCCCCTTTACCCCCAGTTTGGATTATACAAAACCCCCAGGGCAGGACAGGCAGGTTCATGACAACCCCCCGACATCCTGGGTAGTCTCAAGCTGGGAATACAGAGAAAACTTCCAGAGCCCCATCCCCGCCACTACCCCTCCCAGATACCGGCACTCAGTATGGAACCCAAAGAAAAGACCCTCCAGGAGGAAAGGCTAGGCCCTTGGAAGCACACAAGGCTGGGGGTTTTGGAATGAAACAGATCAGATTAAGTTTCAGGTTGTGTGGTCTTAAGAAATTGCTTGACTTTTCTGAAGCTTCATAGATTGTAGATTGTGTCTTCAGGGAACTCCAACCCTGCTCTGCACACCACCTTCCCCAGTCATCTGTGGAGTTCAAAAGCCGGGAATCTAGTCCTGGTCTCTTCCCATCCCTTCCAGGACACTAGAGAGGTTTCCCAGCCTGCACTGGCCCGTGTCCTTGGACCCCGACCCTTAGGGCTCTTCTGAGTGTCCTGTTGTGAAAATGTACGTCTCAGACAAAAACAAGAGACGTTGTGGTGCCCTCACTTCTTTACAGCACCCCTGGGAACCTCCTCAAAACCACAGCTACCTCTTAGCAACCCTGGACATACCCAAATGGCTTATGCCATATGGCATTTGGGGGGCTGGGGACACATCCCAAACTCCTTATGTCAAAATGAAGTCTGACGAAACCCTCTTTCCGACCGCCAACTGATGCTCGGAGGCCTCAGAATGAGTCTGCTCCCGCCTCTGGACTCTGCGGGCCCTGGCCTTTCCCTCCTTCTTCTGCGGGGACCTCCAACTGCAGGAAGGAGTTCCGGTCACGGCCTGGGCTCCCGCTCTTACAAAGGAAGGAAAATGGACGGACCCCCAGCTTCCGGCTTCCTCTGGCAGCGATCCCCTCCCTCCCCCTGCTCCAGCTCAGTTCTCTGCCCCCGGTTTTTGCATTTTTAATTCGGGACAGAATGTGATCTCTCTCAAGCTTCTTGCTTTATCCTGTTGCTATTTAAATTACAAATCGGCCCCATCTCCCTGTCACTCTAGGGTTATTTTTAGCTTCTGGTAAATAGCAGCAGGGAGAGTAGGATCAGGTGCCCCTCCCTCCCTCGAGGAGCTGTGTCCCCGCGACTGTGTGCCCGCCGCAGGGGGCACCCTCCCTGCCAACTGGCGCCACTAGCGTCCTGGGAGGGTGGAGGGATACAGGGGCGGTGGGGGCTGGGGCATGCTCAGTTCCTGCTCTTAGCGGCGGCTGCCTTTGCTGTCCTCAGATCCCACTGCTTAGCCTTGCTCAGAGCCAGCTTCCACCATCCTTCCTGGACCTCCCTAACCCGTCCAACCCCAGGGAAGATCTAGCCGGCCCGCCCCTTGCCTGTGTCATCCTTCCAGCCACGCTATTGAGTGGGTATCATTGTTCCCGTTTTCCATACGAGGAAACAGGGTTAGAGGTGAGAGCTCCACAACTCAGAAGGGTCAGAGCTGGCTTCCACTGGGCCTCTCAGCCCCTAAGCCAGTGTGTGTATCTCTCTTGGACCGCAGAACCACACCTTAAGTCCCTGTGCTCAGGTGATGGATGCATCAACATGTTTCCATTATGCCTGTGCGGTCCGGTCCCATCTCCAGGATCAGGGGTAACAAGCCATGGCTCCTGGGTCTCATCTGGCCCAGTGCCTGATTGTATAGGATCCTGCTAGTTATGAGTGGTTTTTCCGTTTCTCGAAACAGGAAGAAACCAAAGAGTAATATCTTGTGACCGTGAGATGATACGAAGTGTAAAGTTCAGGGTCTCTAAGTAAAGCTTTAGAGGAAGCCGGGCACACTTGCTCGTTTACACGTTGTCTACGACTACTTTTGCACCTCTGTCAGGGCCGAGGAGCCATGACAGGGAGCTCATGACTCGACTCGCAAAGCCTGAAATATTTGCCGTCTGGCCTTGAACAAGATCCTTTTGTCAAGGGGAAAGACTGAGCCCCATAGTCAGGCAGCCTGTCGGCAGGGCCGGAACTCCAGGGCCATGGCAGCATCTGTAGAAGGGACACCTGCTGCCAGCCACACCCAGCAGATCGGCTCTGTTTTACTCTCTTTTATCCAGAATCTTTCTTTTTTGACTTGTCCATAGGTGAGACCAGCGGTTTTCAAACTGGCTGAAGCGCCAGAATCACAGGAGGAGTTGACAGATCTGGACTCTAACCCCGGTTGGCCTAGAGGAGGATTCCAAGGGGAGGGCTTAACAAACCATTCTATTGTCTTTCTTCCTTGATGTCTTACCAGGGATTGAAGCTAGGGTCCCACCCATGCTAGGCAGGCACTCGGTCACTGAGCTACAACTTCAGCCCTAAAAAGTGTTGTAGGGGGCTGGAGAGATGGCTCAGCAGTTAAGGGTGTGACTGGTCTTGTACAGGACCCATCTTTGGTTCCCAGTACACACATGTTGGCTCACACCCACCTGTAAATCCAACTCCAGGGCATCTGACCCCCCTCTTCTGGCCTCTCTAGGATCCCATACACAACTGGTGTGCAGATTTGCACGCATGCACATAAATTTTTTTAAAAAATGTTTTTTGTTTTTTGTTTTGTTTTTTTTAATTCATTTTAAGCCGGGCGGCAGTGGTGCACGCTTTTAATCCCAGCAGAGCCAAGTGGATCTCTGTGAGTTCCAGGCCAGCCTGGTCAAAAGAGCGAGATCCAGGACAGGCATCAAAACTACTACACAGAGAAACCCTGTCTCAAAACAAAACAAAACAAACAAACAACAACAAAAAAAATCATTTAAAAAGACATCCCCAGGTGATGTGGTTTGGTAACTCCTGGGCACAACACTAGAGGGGTCCACAAACAACAGACCCAGCATCCCTCACACCTTTCTGCCTTCCTTAGCCACCTCTCTTGAACCCAACTCTAACTGGTTAGGACTCCTTCCAGGGTTTGGGGAATATACCTCTCCCCGGTCCAGACACAGTCGTGAGACAAGAGTGCTCTACATTCGGTCCTGCTTTTTTGATGGGGATTTATTGGAACCCAGGTCCTTTTTAACCCAAACAAGGGCCTGCCCCACTCCAATTCTAACTGGCTCTGTTTTCCCGCCTGTGGGCCTGTGGCAACTCTGGGAGGCGACAGGAGCTATTTCTCAGCAGGCCCCTCCTCCCTAGAAGGTCCCGCTGACCCCCCCCTCCCCCGTGGCCCTGACTTGCGTCAGGAGCCGCCTGCCAGGCCTCTGTTCTGCTTCCGCCTGCACCCCCTCTCTTGCCCTCATATTTCCAAGCCCCCACACTTCTGCCTGAAAGCCTTTTCTCTCTGTGAAGGGCTTTCAGCTGCTTTTCTTAGCAACTCCTCACAGCAGGGAGGTTTAGCTGCGCGCCAGAGCTTTAATGGAACTGCAGAGGATGTGAAAAGGGCCGCAGTGGGCCTGAGCTCCTGACAGCCCTGGGACAGCTTGGAAGAGGAACCGCGGCAGCACGGGTCAGCAGGCCTCTCAGGCCTTCCCACAGGCCTGTTCCACTGCTCCTCGCCGCCGCCGCTACCTCCTCCTCCTCCTCTCCCTCCTCCTCGGGAGGCTCAAAGGGCCCAGAGCTGTTTCCTCCTTCCTGGTAGAGGCCCTCCTTGCCTTAATGCCTTGCCTAGTTCTAGTGCTAAGACTAGACCCCTGGGTGACCTCAGCATGTGAAGAGTATCCTGCACAATCCCTCCTGCCCTGGTACGATCCTCAGAAAAAGAGACCCAACTTGGGTACTGTGCATCCTTGGTGGCCAGGGGCCTCCATTCTGGCCAGTGGAGGAGCAGTCAGTCCTCACAGCTGCCTCCCCACCCCCGTGTGTGTTCATGTACACATAGTATCTTCTATGTGGGTTCTTTAATCATGCTCCCTCACTGTTCTCCAAGCCTCTATCCCACCCTGGCCTCCTCTCCAGCAGGGATGCTACAGGTCCCTGACTTGCATCTAAGGAAAATCCTGGTGTGGTGCTTTTTGTATGAGCCCAGACAGCTAAGCATAGGTGTGTCTTTGACCAGATCTCCTGACTCCCAAAGCAATAATATTTCTTCCAGGATTCTGTATGCTCAGCAGTTCCCCCAGGGGCACTTTCAGGAACTCTTCTAGCTCAGCTAAAGGCTCTGGCCGATGATACTTTCTTCTTAGCAGGGCTCTGGAAGACCTTGGTAATGGAGCCAAGCATGCTCATGATTCTCAGAGTGCAGGTAGGACCCTTGGGAATCTAACCTATTTTCCATTTCCTCTGAGCATCCCACTTCAGGATGGTGGTTAAGATCCCTCTCCATCCTCCCTCAAGTGATGGAGGCCTAATGGTTTCATAACCATTAAGGCCCTTTCAGCTCTCAGGGCTGGGCCAATTATGATCCTTCTTCCCAGAAGGTAGGAGGAGAACCAGGGCAGTGTAGGACACACCCAAGCTCCTTGTGGTTGCCAGACTTGTCTCCTCCCATCAGGCTAATGGCTTTAAGGGATGCAGATGCACACTGGGATGTACCTACTGGACCCTCCAAAGAACGTCACTTTGTGCCAAGGGCTTGATGGGGAAGCAAGTTCTAGTTGAGGCTGTGGTCCATGAAGGGAAGGGGAAATCGAGGACTGCCCATCTCCTCCCTTCCATCTTGTTCTGAGGAACAGTACCTTTTCTCACAAGCATCTCACTCCAGGTCATTACAGTGGACTCCGGGGCCCACTCCAGTTGTTTCTGCCAGGGGACCCTTTGAACAGAGGTGGCAGGACCAGAGAAGTGGGATTTTATGTAGGCAGCTGATAGATTAATTAAGATGTTGAATGGACAATGTGGGTGGGGTATCTGCTACTGCGGATGCTCCTGTAGACCTGCTGTGATACAGGGGGCTTGGTAGGAACGTCCTTCCCCATTTCTGGGCAGTAGGTTTCCAGCTGTTGTGACAGAAAGCACCCCCTGTCCACCAGTTGGTGCTTAGCACAGGGGCAGCCCACAGGAGGGCACAGAGGAGGGGGGCTGAATGCACGGGGCGTGCCTGCTTCTTCTGGAAGAAAGGCCAGAAGAAGGCTCTCCTCTCCCCAGCACATAGAGGTTTGTAAGGACCACATCTTGGTGGGCTTTCTCCTAGAACAGAGATGCAGCCCTGGGCACACAATTGTCACTCACTAATTAGATGCTGAATGAATAGAGCTTTCACAGTTCCGGCAGGGAGGGTACTCCTGCACCCCTTCTGGATCCCCAGCCCCTACAGCAGGACCAGGCAGGCGGCAGGTGGGCGCGTCGTGAACGCTGCTAGTTGAGTGCTGGTCGTGGGATGGTCCCCGCGCAGTGTCCCCTCGGTCCCCATCCTCCTTACCTGTAAGACACCTGCTTTCGGAGGTGCATCTGGCGGAACCGCTCTTCCACCAGGGGTCCGGCAGCCACACTTCGGGTACCCTCGGGCCAGGGTTGAAAGACCTCGGCCTCCTCCCCACGCCGGCAGCGCCGCCGCACCACCACCTCCTCCACAGCCCGACCGCCGCCGGCGGCCCTGTCCCCGCGCGGTCCTCCTCCCCCTGGCCCCTCGGCCATCCTTCAGCGGCCTGCGTCTGTGCTCCCAGGCCTGGCGGGGATCCCACCAAAGTTCAGTCTCGAGCGCTACCGGGCCGGGGGCGCGGAGCAGGGAGCAAGGCAAAGACGAGCTGGGTCTTGCACGTCTGTCGCGACGCTGCGCCCAGACGACAGAGTCCGGGAGCTGCGGGGCGCCGCGCGTGAGAAAGGCCAGCGGGGATGTTCCTGAGCCCTGGGGAGACTGTGTCCTTGGAAGGGTCGGGATGCTGCGTGGGGCGCTGCCGGGGCGAACCCGGGACGGCCGGAGCCGGAGGACGAGCCCAGCCAGAGCCTGTAGCTGCCGCCACCTGCACCGGAGTGTCACCTTAGAAACACTCGGCAAGCCGTGGGGTCCGAGGGGAGGGCGTCACCTCGCGCTGCTTGACCGGCCCGGGGCCCCGAGAAAGAGAGCCCGGTGCAGCGGGCCGCGGCCACCAACCTCGCTGGGGGGCTCAAGGCCAGGGTGCGAGACGCTGCCCCGGCCCACCTCTGAGCCCCTGCCCTGGCACTGGTACCAGCTGCACGGCACCTGCCAATCATCGCTCCACCTGTCACTCAGCCGCAATGATGCACCCCCCCCCCCTTCTGTCCCGCGTTTTCCGGCTTCGGCATTCGCTGCTGCTGTAGGCAGGTGGGGGGGGGGCGGACAGGGGCGGTGACACGAGGCAGCTTTAACCCTGTCGGCGCTGTGGGAGTTTAGAGATCAAGTTGGACTTGAGGAAGGGGCACAGGAAACGTACAGCTTACATCAATCTCTAGGTACATCTCGGAATTGTGGGGACACCATCTCCAGGCCTAGAGCTCTCAGGACCAGGGCTTAAGCTGGACCAAGTTGGGTTGTGTGTAAAGTCATAGCTCCCAACCTTGGGATGCTCAGCCTTCTGGAAGTTCTCTAAGTTGCTGGATTCAGGGTATCCCAGACAGCTAAATCAGTACCTTCTAGGACAGAAGCTGTTAGGTGAGGGGAGGAGCCAAGGGACCAAAAAGAAGAACTAGAGATTTCCCTGGGGTCCATATTGGGTTTCTCTGGCTTCTTAGTTCCATGTCTGTGTTTGTATCATCTCCTCTTGAGTTTGGGGGTGTTTTCCAACTGAACATTTCGTTTGGACCATTGAAGGAATCTGGGTGAGGCCTCAGATCTAACGTCTATTTGTGACCCAGACTTTATCTTTCTGAAGTTGACTTGCGACCACAGATTACCCCTCCATTCAGTATTTAATGGCTGTCCTTTGCCTATACTCCAGTCTGGTATTCAAGGCCCATATCCCAGCATCCAGCCCCATCCATCCATCCATCCATCCATCCATCCATCCATCCATCCATCCATCCATCCACTTGTATGCATTTTATTCTGGAACTGGTATCAGTTCTTCTTCTTCTTCTTCTTCTTCTTCTTCTTCTTCTTCTTCTTCTTCTTCTTCTCTTTCTTGTTCTTCTTCTTTGGTTTTTCGAGACAGGGTTTCTTTGTGTAGCTTTGCGCCTTTCCTGGAACTCACTCACCCAGGCTGGCCTCAAACTCACAGAGATGTACTTGGCTCTGCCTCCCAAGTGCTTGGATTAAAGGCTTGCACTACCACCGACCGGCCTGGTATCAGTTCTTCATAGCATCATTTAGGTTGTCTGCTCCACCTGAAAGTCCCTTCTATGACAGATTTTTAAATTCTGAGGCTCCCTCAAAAGTTTTCCTATATGGCTCCTCAGTTGGTCCAGCTGACCGGCTTCTTCCTAGTTTTCCTTGTCCTATGTGCAGATGTCTAGCGTAGTCCATCCTTCATTCCCACTGCCTGTGAGTGTGGGAAAGTGGGAGAGGCTAGACTCACATGGGTAGAGAACAGGCTTTGGGGTTCTCTGGTCTTCTGCATCCTGGCTCTATGCCTTTGCTTAGGTTATCCATCGCCTGGGTTCTTTGTCTCTCATTATGGAAAGAGCATCCATCCTTCAAAGCCCATTTCCAGAGCCATTGCCCCCACACATCCCTTCTTGATGTTTCTCTCTTCTCTGGCCCAAGCAGATTTCATCAGGCGTACCCTGCACACTCTAACAGTAGCTACCGTCTCCTCTGTCCCGAACCACATCCCTCGGGGTAGGTATTATCACTTCCTCCATGCTGTAGAGAAGGATTCAGAAATGACATTCAATGATTTAGTTGCTCAAAATAGCTCATGGTGAGTGGCAGCACCCTTGGATTTAAATCCAGGCCTCTGGTACCAGCACCCATGTCCTTTTCCCTCCACTGATCTGCTGTGGAGCCCTCCCTTCTCTCTATTCTGGAAACTTCCAAAGGTCTGCTATCATTTTGCTTCCCACATTTTAGTGGCCCAGCAAGCCCCTTTTGGATAAAGGAATTGGATTAAACTTCCTTGGCCGTAAAGAAGCTTTCTCCCTAAAGCCAAATTATAAAGAAATCCTGCTGCTGGGGGGTGGGGAGCCCCCACCCTGCACCCCAGCTGTCCTCGAGTCTGCCCTTCTAGGATTCTGGGCTTTGATTCCCAAGCAACCTGGCCCAGAGTAGCCCTCCTCCCCCATGAATTATGGTAGTGCTGGCTGGGTTTGCCATTCGCTCACCAGCTGCCTGGCTGCTGGGTTCCCGGGTTGGGTTTTTGTTTGGCTCTTTCCTGTAGTGCTCTCCCCACTTAGTGCTTTTGAAAGCAGGCCTCATTCCACCGTCACACACCTCCCTACTCCCTAGCTGCGGGCTGCATTATCTTGAAGCTAGGGCTTGGCCTCCTTCCCGACCAGCCTCACCACCTTCTGCAGCCCTTCCTAGCTGCGGCTCACTCCTCTGGGCCCAGCCCACCCATTACCCCTGTACTTAGAGAATGGTTACTGATGTCTATTGCATAATGGCTCTGGCGCTAAGCATTTTCCGGGCAAGTTTTCATTGACTTCACAAACAGCTTTAGGAGGGTGGGTACCATTTTACTGATGCACGCACCGGGGCTTGGAGACATTAAGTAGATTAGGGAGACAGCACATCCTTCAGAGACCATGTGCTTATAGCCACTCTGATGACCAAGCAGCTTGGACTCATTTGGAGCCAAGTGGCCTGGCCTATCTCCTCCACTCCTAGGGAGACCCACAAGGGTACTTGTTACCTACATCAGGCAGGTGTTCATTTTGGTCGGGTGGTTCCTGAGCTGGTCCGGCCCTCTTGGGTCTAGAGCCTTGCCTGGTCCATCTCCGCTCACGGCTTCACCCGTGTTTTCAGAACTTCAGTTTCCAGCTGTAACAAAGGGTTTACTGTGGTCATTGAGGCAGGATAACTGGCATTGTCAAAGCTGTCACATGGGCTGCGTCAAAGCAGGCTGCCAGGACTGACGACAACTGAAACTATTGCTCCATTGCGGGGGATACACCCCCGTAGGGGCAGTGACCCCACCCCACCCCGCCCCCAGAAGTACAGTCCATAGATGACTTGTGGGAGGGGATTAACCCTACATCCTAACACAGGCTGGGCAAGCATCTTGGATAGACCTCCATGAGGAGCTGACCCCAGGTCAGCTACTTGCTAGCCATGGGCTCCAGGAAACCCTGAGAGTCAAGTCCCTTGCATGGTCATTAGAGGAGGAAGTGGGGACAGGAAGAACGCTAAGAACTGTGGTGAAGCTGGTAGACCTGTATTCACATAACAGCTTTGGTATTCAGATGGCTTGGTCAGATGATTCTCTCTCTCTCTCTCTCTCTCTCTCTCTCTCTCTCTCTCTCTCTCTCTCTCTCTCT